CATACTGTCTTGCCTCCATAAACCAAGAGCACAGTTCAAACTCATCCAGGCATAAGGCACAAGGTAGAAGCAAAAGGGAGAGGGGGCGAAGGGGAGAGGGAGGGGGAGGAGGAGGAGGAGGAGGAGGAGGAGAGGAGGATAGGCGGCCATATTTTCCAAATCTATGAATTCAGTAACTAAGAATTAAAAATGTCTTTAAAAATTGCATCTGTACTGAATATGCAAGGCTTTCTTTTTCTTGTCATTACTTGCAAAGCAATAGAGTAGAACAACTATTTACATATCATATTAGATATCAGAAGTAATCTAAAGAGGATCTGAAGTGTAGAAGAGGATGTGCATGGGTTATATGAGAATACTAAGCTGCTTTATGCAAAGGACTTGAGCATCCATGGGTTTTGGTTTTTGAGCAGGGAGGTCCTGGAACCAGTTCCCTGTAGATATTGGGGACAACTGTTTTTCAGAAGTGATAGAAAGATTTAATTCATGGAAACGTAATGCTAATACCACAGCACTTTGGGGGAATGGTTGGGGGCAGGGTTGTATCTCGAAGTATCAACATGCATATATCCTTTCTTCCTCAGTCCCTTCCTTCCTTTCTTTCCACTGACACATCTTAACCCCTGACACATCTCCAGCCCTTTTTAGGTTTTATTTGGAGATAGGGCCTTGCTAAATTGCTGAGGCTGTCATTGAACCCCTCATCCTTCCACCTCAGCCTCCTGAGCCACTGGGATTACAGGCCTGTGACACGGCCCAGCTAGTTTCTTCTCCTTTGCTCATTCACTGGGACATGAAGGGCATTCTTTCCATACTCAACCACCTTTAAGCAGAGTCACTCAAAGAAGCCATGAAACAAAGTGTGAGGAGGAATATCTGAGTGTGGAGTGAAAAATGAGGGGTTCTGGTTCCAGAGATGAGCTAAGACTGGAGCTGAGGGAAGGACACTAGCCCGGAGGGCTAACCATGATGGTCACCTGTATGATTCCTGGGCTGGACAGCAACTTGGATGCCTCATATCTTCACCCACGGGGGGCTGAAGCATTCCCCACACCCTTCCCAGCCTGAGGCTGCTGGTGGTGGCCACTCACATTTAATGTTTTCGATGAGCTCATTAAGCCCATACTCTTAATTAAATTGGTCTTTCAACATAAGGGGCTTCATTAAGTGGAAATATAAAGTTAGAATCCTCCTTAAACTGAAGAGGCTTGTGATATCTTCATCCATGGATGTGTTTTGAAAGCTTATACTAAAACAAGGGAGTAGTTGTCTTGAAATTCCCATTATATATACACAACAATTTAAACTTTGTTCTAACTGTAGGTATTGATACCAGTAGTGGTAATGCTGGCTGAAATTGGCTACTCAATTAGAATTAATTATTCATTACATGCAGTAAGATAAGGAGGGAATTTGGATCAGAATATTCCTGGAGAAAATTTTTTTATCTTTTTACTGATCAAAGAAATGAAATGTCTCAGAGAAAAATACATGTTTTAAGCTTTCACCATTAAAAACAATTCAAAATTGGAAGAAGACAATTTTTCAGAAAATGAGCAGGCTGTTTCTATCTACAGTGGGTTTTACAGACTCTAAATCAGTAGTTATCAACTGAGATATTTTTGAAATCCTGAGTAGGCCTTAAGATAAGAGCTAGTGTATCTTGGTGTCCCTGGAGATGGGACTCCAATGTACATCAAAGTTAAGAACCATGTTCTTCAAAAAGTACATCAAAGTACTATTTGCAAAATAAAAAAAAAAAAAACAACCTTTGGTTTGCAAAATAAAAACAAAAAGGCACTGGATTCTATTTTTTAGAGGTGTGGTGGTAGTGTGTTCGAAGTAAGGAAGGAAGAAGGTGAAGGTAGATAGGTCTCAATTGCTAAAGAAGCTGTGCTAGATGTTATAGCTGCAATCTGATTTAAAATGATAAGGAAAATCTACATATGACAAGAAAATCTTGGTTTGTGAGGTCATAACGTTAAGACTTCAACTGGTCTAGTACCCTGGACTGGACTTAACAACCAAGACAATGTTCCCTCTCAAGGTACAGATGGTAATCTCTGCAGAGATATCTGGTTATAATAACAGGGGCAGGGTGGGGGTTGGTGGTGCTAATGCCATCTGGTAGGACCCAGGGATGCTGATAAACACCCCATAATGCACAGCACAGACCCATAGCAGAGCATCACTCAGCTGCAAATGTCTCTAGCAGCAAAGCTGAGAAACTCTGGTGCAGTGGTCCAAGACAGAGTATTGGTGGCATGGAGTACTGAGTGGCAAAATGTAATTAAGACAACTTGATGAGACAGCTGAAACAGAGCTTTAAGTCTGGAAATCCACAGAAAATAAATAAGCAACACTTTCAGATGCTTTTGGAGGTGAGGAAAAGGCAGAAGGAAAATCTCATTCATAGTACAGGAGAGTTTCTGCATCAAAACGTGCAGCTGATCTTTGTAGGAGCAAGTGGCTCACTGCTTCTAAGACATGATATTCCATGTCTTGAATCAACAAGCTCCTGGAATATAGTGGGGTTTTCACAGAGCAAGACTAGACTGGAAGCAGCCAAGAGGAGTACGTAGCAGCTGAAAGAAGCAGATGGCTGGAGAGGAAATGGTATTGAACAGAAAAGAAAAATCATGGTTACTAATAAGAAAAGGAAAACCGCTGGAGAGAAGAAAAACAACTTCTGACGCTAGGAAATGAAAAGCTGAGAGTTTCAACAGTGTCGTGACAAGCAGATCCATGAAGTGATAATAAGGAAATCAACTCCTCATACCTAAATTGTCATTGGCAACATGATAGATAAATTTTTGTTCATGTATCAAAAGCCTTTAAACATTCATTTGGTCTAGATATTTCATTTTGAAGATGTATCTTTAAGACACAATTAAGGAGGTAGGTGAGGTTTAACTACATGGGTGTTTATTACAGTTTACACTAGTGAAAAATTAGAAGCAACTTCATTTTCTAAAAAGAGGGACTGGCTCACCACATCATGGTATGCCCGGCAGTAGAATTCTCTCTAGCTCTTCAGCATTGCAGCATAAAGAGAAACTTGCTGGCAGAGAGAAAGGTCATGCTGTCCAGTGACAAACTGCCACAGCACAGTCTACTATCCCCAACCTGCTCTCCCCTTTAGAGCTGTCAAGGTGGCAGGAGAGAAACCCCCTGGGTACAGGTGAGAAGGGTCTGTGCAGTTTCCAGAGAATGTGCAAACAGTAAAATACATAAAAGTTATTATTGTTGTTATTAGTAGTATATGCAAAAAATGTGGAGTGAGTTCAGTGATAAGACACTCCTCTCATAGGGACAGGGAGCTCCTACTAAATTATGTCACCACACCTCATTTTTCTGTATTAACAAAATGCCCGAGGATCATGCACAAAGGGTCCTGGTGACTAAATTCCTGCTTCCCTGGCAGCTCAGGTATTACTGTGAATCTTGCAGGGCACCTGGGTACCAGTAACAGTGATCTGTGCAATGTCGGGGTAGGGCAGGGCTCTCCTGTCTTTCCTCTATCTATCTATCTATCTATCTATCTATCTAGGTGCAAAACCCAAGGGCAAGGCAGCACTTAGCCAGGTGCTCTCATTGGGAGGGTTTGGTAAACACTTGCCAGGGGCCCCTGCACCCCTGGAGGGAGGTTGAAGAGATTAAGCATCAGGGCTCAATCCTTACCCACAGATTCCTTCCTTTCAGGGAGAGGATGAGAGATACAGCTTGACTCAGGACAGGGGAAAAAGTGGGGCTGGGCTTAGTTCTCAGAGGGCTAATGAACCGGTGCTGTCAAAGAGAGTGTGAACATGGATCTCCCAAAGTACAGGCATGTGTAAGATGAATGCATGAATCTAGGAGTGGTCCGAAGTACACAGAGCTGTAAGCCACTAGAGAACTGGAACCTAAAACAAATGCTAACCCTGATGCATTCAAGGAGAATTCAGGAATTAGACTTAAGAATGCATTCTCATTGATTCTTACTCAAAATATCTTCTTTAGCCTTACCTTTACTGGAGGAAAATTATTTCTCAAATAGTTTAGAAATTCTGCATTGTGATCTTGACAAATGCATTTGCATATTTATCTTGAATTCAAAGACTGTCAATGGAGGGAGTTGTAAATTTCAACCTATTTCCCAGGCCAGTCAGGTCCCAAGTTAGTATAACCCTCAGAAGCTGGATATATGACCACAGTGTCCAGGGCAATCTGGACTTGTGACCTCAGCGTCCAGGGAAGGACATGGATGTGAGACCCCAGTGTGAGGAGAAATAGGGAAATCCTCAGTGGCAGGGTTTTGGCCAGCAGCAGAATGAACAGTTCCTTCCCACTACTCCCTTTCCTGGGATGAGGGCAGCTAGGGGTAAGGGCTTCACCTCCCAGGGGCCCTGGGGATGTGGTGGAGGCTGTTCCGATGCCCTGGAATGAGGAGGGGTAGCTGCCTACTGGCCTTTACTTGACTGTAGGGGACCCACTTACAGTTGCACAAGGTGAAAAGCATTTTGTTTAAAGAGATCTCCCTCTCCAGCCGCAAAGGGCTTTGAATAGTCCCTACAGCCAAACTTCTGATGCCCATTCTGGTGAATGGGCTATGAATTCTGACTTGCACTAGCAACTTCAAGATGGCAAAACAAAACCTTCTCCAAACGTGCAATAAAGCAAACATTGGATTTTGTGCTTACCTTCATACAGTGCGTCTATTCCAGGCATCTCTGCCACCCAGATGGCAGCCAGCCTGGCCCCCCTACTCCCAGACTAGTCCTGCCTGGGACTCAGAATCCAGTCATAAAGAGCACAGTGAATGTGGGAATCAACACATAGAAGGCTCAGCCCCAGGGTCCACCTCTACTCTAGGAGCTGTCACACCTTGTCTGGCTTTTTTTCTTATTTTGAAATTTACCATCTTGGCTCAGCTGCAAGACATGGGGGGAGTTATTTAACTATCACCGTCTCAACTGTGAAATTCCCACAGGAAAACTGTGCAGGCACTTCAGTGATTTTACCGCACAGTGGAAATGCAAACCGGGTATCTGGACATACAGAAAGGAAATTCACGTTGCAAGGAGGGAGGGAATGAGTGCATGCAGCTGTGAGTGTCCAGCATCACCTGGTCCTAGGATTTCTTTTTCTTCTTTTTCTTGCCCCAGCACCCAGAGCACTCCTTGTCCTTGCTGTTGGCCTCGCCGCAGAGCAGCCCGTCCAGCTAATCCGTGCCCATGTGCTGTCCCTGAGACGTTTCTGCTGCCAGCCGGTATGAGAAGTTCCTTAAGATGCACACACAGTTTTCACCGGTCTGGGAAAATGGAGAAGAAAGAAAGAGAGAAGGGAAAACAGAAGAGGAATGAACAAGAACTAACCAGTACTCTGCCCTCCACCCTGGACAGGCAATGAGTCCCAGGCACACACTTCTTTCCTGCTCCCAGGGCTCCCCTGACCCCAGTGGAAAGAATTCAGAGAAGCCTAGAAAGGTCATGATACCCTCTCTCCCCACACAGAAGCTATGCATCAACAACAGTCACTTCTAAGCACCTGTTACTGTTGATTGACATTTCACTGGAGAGAGAGGAGGAATTTATAACCACGAGCTGTCCCCAATGCCTCTACTCCCAGACTAGTCCTGCCTGGGACTCAGAATCCCATTCATGAAGAGCACAGGCCCTGGCCTGTGGTCAGCCCTGGTGGGTGACCCTAACCTGCACCATCTACACTTCTGGGTGTAAGAGGAGCAACAGACACAAACCAGGGCTGTCCCATACACATCAGGGGCTATGGCCACTGGGAGACATATCTGTTCTCATTCAACTGATTCTTTCAAGAGGACCAACATTCCTGTTTCCTAGCAAAGGGGTTCAACAGCAGTTAAGGGCACATGTGGAGCTGGACACCTGTAGAGCTCCGGATCTCCACTCTTAGCTGTTTGACTTTGGGTGATATAATCATGGTATCCTGGACTCATTGTCTCCCTCTGTACAATGACCACAATAGGACCTCATCAGTAGATTGTTGTGTGGGTCAGGGGAGCTAATGTATGTGTGTGCAATGGTCAGAATAACGCTCCCAAGTGTCCACATCCTAACTGCTGGACCTGTGAATGTGTTAGGTTCTATGGAGGGTGATTAAGGCTTAGGTGGAATTAAGGTTGCTGTTTGGCTGACAGATGGGCAGTTTATCTGGATTTTCCAGGTGGCCCATTTATCATGAGGTCCTGTAAGAGGGAGGCAGAAGAGTCAGGGCAAGATGGTTGTGATGCTGAGAGGTAGGAAAGGCCACCAATGGCTTTGAGTATGGAGGAAGGGGCCACAAGCCAAGGGATGTGGGCAGCTTCTGAGCTGGGGTGTAGAAGGAAGCAGATTCTCCCCTGGAGACCCCAGGAGAAGCCAGCCCCCATGGCACTTTCTGTTTAGCCCAGTGAGACCCATTCTGGACTCCTATACTCTAGAACTGGAAGATAATAAATATGTGGGGTTTTACCCAGCCACCAAGTTTGTGGCCATTTGTTACAGAACAGAACAGTAGGAAATTGATGCAGCGGGGAAGCACCGAGAATGCCGGGGGCACCGGGAATCATTCTAGTGATGCTGGGAGAAGGCCTGGCTTCAAAAGCCTAAGGCATGGGACCCAGAGGGAGTCAGCATGGTTTGGGTTTTAGTGTGGGCTCTGCCATTTAATGAGCTCTGTGACCTTAGGCAAGATGCTTTAACTCTGTGCATCACAGGGCTAAAGGTAAGGGTTAAACGAGGTCACAGACACAGGTCTCAGAAGAGTGACTGATGATGATGCATTTGCTGTTATCAGAGTCAAAATGTGGGATTCAAGAAATATAGTTCTAATAACCTCTAATTGTTGATAGGAGGGGTTGGCTGGTAAACCAGAGCTTGCAGGCCAAGCCAACGGAGCTTGTACGTAACCTATCAGGGGAATTCAACATGCCCTGGTTTTTTTATGATGTATGGTTGCTGTCATGTTCCAATAGCAGAACTGAATAGTTGGGACAGAGACCAGGGGGCTCACAGAGCCAAACACGTTTATGCTCTAACTCTTTGCAGAAAGTTTGCTGGTTGAGACAGAGCTGACCATTTTGACCTTTGTCCTGGACTTGAGGAACCAGAGGAGAGGAAAAAAAATACTCCGATTTTTAAAAGGGCATAACATCAGGAGGCAATTAATCTGAGCTAAGTTTTGCTTGAAAAAATCACAACACCTGGGCTTCCATTTCCCACACATCTATTATGTGTCTGTCACCACTGGACATAGGTACCAGGATTCCATTCTATGGAGGCTGGAAAGCACAAGCCAGGCTGTGTGTGACCAGGGCAGATGCTGCCTCTGATCTGCAGTCCAGGCTCAGGGCTGGAGCTGGGATCCCAGTCCTGCCTGATTTCCTCTGTAGGCTGGAATCTGGTGAGATGCATCTGTGCCCTTTGCTGGATCATGGGCATGTGAAAGTCAACCAGGAAAACCAGCTCTCAGGACATATATCTGGGGCCTTTGCCATTCTAGACCTTTCTTGTCGAATTTTCAAGGTTTCACGGCAGCTAATCCCACAGGCTTTGCGTCAACTTGATTTTCTATTTCAAACCTCCTCTCAGCATCAAAAAAGGAACCCGGCATGAAAGCAGGTAAGCACAGGACGATGCATGAAAGACAGAGAAGTCTCTCATTGAAAGGAAAATGTTATGGCATAAGTCAGAACGATTTTCAAATCAGCTCAAACTGATTTTTCTTACATCAAAGACTTGGGAGAATAAACTTCTCTCTCCTCCTGCTGTTCATCTTCCCCAGGGGCTGCGCCATTCCTCTGTTTAACAGAAGACTACTGGGGGCTAAATCTGCTGTCTTGAGAAGTGTTTTATAATCTACCTGCTGTGGGGAGATGATTCAGGGAGAAGCTGGAGGGACAGAGGGAAAGAGGTGGGGGTGGGAGGCGAGAGGGGCCAGGAATTGAACTCCTGGCTCTCATTGAGATCCCTGGAGTGAGGCAGTCCGGTGTGGTTCAGGTAGGTTACCAATTCAAGAGCTTTTCTGTGAAAAGATTGGGGAGGGGGTGAAGGAAGAATAGAAGAAGGCATGTGGCAGCTGGTGGCTTTGCTTGTGACATGCATTGCTGTCCACAGCACTTTTAGCAGTTTCTTTTGGCCACCAGGGTCATCTTGACTCCTTATTTTCTATTAGAAAGGGCTAATATGGAAGTCGTCTGTAGAGTGCTCTACCATATGCTACCCATTCAACAAACTGTCCCCATTATAACAACAGAGCTGAGAGCTTGCATAGAATCCAGGCTCTGTATTCATTAACTTCTCTGGCCTTAAAGGGAACGTATGGTCATTTTTACCCCCTTGAACTTGTCATTGTGAAAGCGCAGAGTGGCCGAGCAGAGCACTGAGTGGAAAATTGTGGTACGATAATAACATGTTAAAACTCCATCTTAGCATGCAGCCTGCAAAGCACTGCTGAGTGATTTATCACATCTGAGCCTTGCAACAGCCTTGGCACGCAGCTATGATTATCCTCCCTGTCACAAAGCTGAGGTCACTTGGGCATGGTCCTCCAGCTGGCTGGAGCTGGAGATGGTACTATCCACTGGCGCCTCCTGGATGGCCCTCAGTGCTCTTCCTACACATCAGGGATTTCAGGGTCTTCCTACTCCAGACTTGAAGACTCCAGATTATTTCAACTTTCCTTTTGGGGGAAATGTGGATATCCAATAGATGACCTCCAGGGTCTCCCAGGAGTATTAGAAGTGTGACGTCTGAGGCATCAGATGAGAGATAGTTGCGCCTTGGAGCACACTGGCTCTCAAGCCACACTGCTGAGACTGCCTGAGCTCAGAGATGGTGCAGGGGAACGTGGCTGAGGCACAAGGCCACTGACTTTCACTTTAGCTTCACCTGCAGTCCAGAAGTCATTTAAGTTCCTTCTTGTGCATCGTGGTAAGAGGCTTCGTCTCCCCTTGCCTCAGTCTTTCACAACAGCAAACATCAAGATGCTTAGCATGGCTGCTTCAGGAAATTACCTTCAGTAGCTCTTTTAAAAATCAGGAGTCTATTATGCTATCAGGCCTCTGTAAATTCTCAGGGCATCTCAACTGGTCACTTTTCCAGGGATTTAATTTTCCTGTCAATGATGCTAAAAGGTCTAAAATGGTCATTAAGGGTGTTTACAAAAGAGGAACACTTAAGCCTCTGTTACATTATGTTCTGTCTTAGAAATTAATAGCTCATGGCCAATGAGTGGATGCAGGCCTGGGGGTGGCAAGGATGAGATGACAAGCAGCACTCGTGACTCAAAGAGCTGGAGTCCCAGGAGACACCCAGGGCCCCAATCTTTGAGGAGCAAGCCTAAGCCACTGGTAATTCTCTAAACTTCTTGTGACTGTAATGAGTGGCCAAGGCTGAGAAGTTTAATGTGAACTTACTCTCAAAGCTGATTAACAACTAAGGGAATAGAGTCACTCCTATTTATTTTTTGTTTGATTTTACAATTATATTATCAAAGCAGACTGCAATTGTCCCATTCAAAGCTCTACCTACTAAGGCAGGCTCTTCATCCAAGATGCACATTAGATTCATTTTTAAAGGTATCAGCACTTGCAACCAGAGCTAGGCAGTCAGGTTAGGAACAACAATGGGGTCTGGGAGACATATTCATTAGTGCCCCAAAGGCAACTCTGATGAAGAGTCTGGGTTGGGGACCATGGGGTCAGATAGGGGTTTGCAACCAGGGTGGATTTGGCTCTGCATAGAAGGCATGGCCACGTGCAGGGACCCGTTGGTTTGTTAGTACTGAGGTGGGTGGGTTGGGAGATGCTACTGGCATCCAGTGGGTGAAGGCAGGAATGCTACCTGATCCTGGTTACAGCCCCTTACAATGAGGAGACAGAAGGCCCCAACTGTTAATAGGAACAGCTCCTCAGAGCCCTCATTAAGGTATCACACTTATCCATGCACTAATTTGAAGTATAGGTAGAAGCTGTGTTTATATGAAGATTACTTTGTGAATTTATATTAGTGTGAATTGAAACTCATCTAGTTAAGAGAAAACAAAATAACTCAGACACTGGAAAGGTTCCCCCATTTCCATCTTGGCTTGTGAACTACAGCAGTGAGTACATATTAATAACTTAAGATACTGGCAGCTTCATTCAGCTTTTTGACATTCTCTCCGATTTTGAAGGCATTTTAAAATGGCATTTAGTACAATTAGCAGTTATTAAAAAGATAATATGAGAATACAAGATTATTCCAATCTTGGGGAGTTTAATGTTAACCTGGATTGTCACGCATTGCTGATCTAAGGTTGGAATGCTAGTTCTAAGACCACGAGGAGAGGCCTGCCTGCCTGGACAGAGTTGGAGTCACACAGAGAAGCTGAGAGAGCTCAGGATGCATGTGTGAAATGCCACCACAGCTCTCTGTGTTGTCCTCCATCGCGGGGCCCCGCGGCATCTGTGTGCTCTGAGATGCTCAGTCTGTGCAGATACTACAAACCTTGCTATCGATCTCGCTGCTCCCCAGTGCAGACTGGACCACGTAAAGCAAGGCATCTGTGAGCCCGTCACACTCCCGCATCCTCCGGCGGGCCTCCTCTCCGGCTGAACTTACATTCCTGCAAAGCAGAGGGAAGTGTCAGTCATCAGTGACCTTCACTGTGGTCACTGAGAGAGCATCCTTCCAGGCCACCACCCCCAGTTTTAAAGAAAACTTTTTTTTTCTTGGTTAATCAAGAATATAGCTTTAAGCCTGGGGTTGTGGCTCATGGTAGAGCTCTTGCCTAGTCTTGTGAGGCACTGGGTTCGATTCTCAGCACTGCATGAAAATATAAACAAATAAAATAAGGTTATTTTCAAAAAAGAATATAGCTTTAATGAGTGGGATTGGCTTCAACAACAGTTCCTGGAATTGAGTAAAACAAAGATCCCTTACTGCAACTTGGAAAACAGAGCATGCAGACTTCCTAGCATGATTGATCTGCCAGTCTTGTGACTGCTGAGAATGGGGGACTTTCAGAAAGTCCCAGGGGTCATGTCATTTATAATCAACAAGGGAATCAGAAGTCTTTTGATTCAAAGGATTCTTCTTCTTTGAGAAGTCTGAAGCAATTTCAAAGACAGAGCTTCTGACTTATTGAAATATCTTAGAGATCTAAATTGGCCTGCCTCAAAAATTACCTACCCTGGCCCAGCCAGAAGTAGACTTCTAGGAATTTACTCTAAGGACACAGAGTTTCTGGACAATTTAGTATTTGGGATGTCCATGACAGTTCTTAGGGGAAGAAGTTACTCCAAATGCGTTCCTGTCCTTCAGGGCTTGAGCTAAAGTCCAGAGAAGGAGCCTGTTGGGCCGGAACCCAGCTAGGAAGCACACAGACCACGGTTAGAATTCGGCTCCAGGGGAAAATTTCTGTAGAGACTCTGGACCACTCAGAAGGGATGCTGGGGAGATGAGCTAATGGAGGGCACAAAGGGATTGGAAGAATTTAGAGAGAAGGACAGAGAACTAACTAGGTAGGGCAATGGTTCTCAAACTTTGGGAACCTCAGAACAACCTGGAGGGCAGATAAAATATAGGGTGCTGGATTCCACCTGGGTCTGGCTTAGAAAGCCTGGGTTGGAGTCAGATAAGGTGCATCTCCATGGTGATTCAGAAGCTGAGAGCGAGGCCCTAGTCCTGTGGGGCAAGTTTGGCTGGAGGAAGGTGGTCCTCTTTGCTGCCTGCTAGGAGGCCATGGGGAGGATTCCCAAAACCTCTGAACTTGGACAGTCTGGAGGAGTGGAAATGGTAGGACTCTCCACACCAGCATGGTCATCAACACAGGCACTTCCTCATTTTGTTTTTAAAAAATCTTTTGCGGTTGCACCTATTCTACTTGGCAGGTGAGGAAGCTGAGCCTTAAAGAGGTTGTCCAAGGTCCTGCAGCTACTTATGGAGACACTGAAATGAAATATGAGGAAAGGAGAAGCCAACAGCTTCAGCCTTAATGGAGAGTATGGACGGACTAGATTTTGTTTGTTCATAGTTTTTTTGTTTTTGTTTTTTTTTTTTTTTTAGGATAAAAAGAAAATGAAATAGGCCTAATGTTAAAATGCTAGTGAATATAATGCTTTCTTTGATGTCTAAAACAATATCACAGGAGATATTAAAAAGGGTTTATCAGCATTTTAGTGTATCCCTAGAAAATGTTATTTAATTTAAATTAGGATTTTTGGCATTTGCTGATCTTATAATATGAACACAAATTTCAGTTTCTTAGGTAATACAACTAATCAAATATTGACAGCGTTTTAATGCAAAATTTTATAAATTGCACCTTGTGTCGACCAACATGTTTCTGGCAATGTCCCTAGTGGGGGTGAGGAGGGAGGAGGAACTCACTTACTGCTATGGGAAATGTGGCAGGAGGCACAATAGTATTATTTTAAACTAGAAGAATGGCCCTTGTAAAAGTCAAGTTTAGACCATTCATCCTTGAAATGATTTTCTCCAGGTTGAGCTTTGAAGATATTAGAATAAGTTTGTCAGAATTCCCTATCAGACTTCCATGGCAATGAGTGACCTTGGGTTTGGGAGGGTGGTTTTTCCAAATGAAGAAACTGTGGAATTCAGACCTGAAAGCACCTCAGCTCATGTACACCCCAGTCTGAAGTATCCTGAATATACCTCCTGGAGGGATGAGATGTCTTTCCTTTGAACATCGTCATGATGGGGTGGCAGCCTCCTGACCCACAAATAAACTTAATCATGATCAGCACTAATTTCACTGATAATCAAAAAATGTGCAGGAAATAACAGGAATGAACAGTTCATCAACATTAGATGCTGTCAACATTAATTCCAGCATATTCTAGTTTCTATTTGATTCTAGTCCAGTCTGCTCCCAAATTTAAAACGTTTTTAATTAAAATGTACATGATGTTGAGACACAAGAAAGATTAATATAGTCTCACTAGACAAGGTAAAAGGACCAAGACACCCACACCCACCCACCCATATGCCTATTGTCTGCAAGTGACAGGAGACAACATATATTATCAAATGGATACAAGTTTGTGCTTGTCTCTTCTGTGGGTAATGGTTCCATACAAGCCTTTGGACATAAGTTTCTACTTTTATTCAACTATTACAGAATTGGTAAAAAATCACATTAGGTGAAACTTTGGGCTTTTCTTGCAGGCAATGAGGTTTTCCTTTTTTTCCCTTTTCGTCCTAAACACAAGATCTACTACTCTTTCAACTACAGCAATCAGTTTTGCTGTTCATTACCAGGTAACTGAAGAAGAATGATGTTCTTTCCACCCATTGTAAGGAACCAGTGCAGAAAAAAGGTCACAGCCTCAGTAATTCCAATACAAAATCCATGATGGAGGTTTAAAATGATAAGGAAGTAGGAAGGGAACCAAATAGATTTGGTCCCTTAAATCCCATCTTTTGGTTTTCTCTCTGGCTTGATCTCCCACATGTTGGCCATCTGCACCAGAAGCACTTTTTATGGGAAATGGAAGGCCCATTCAGTTGAAAGTGTGCTGTAAGCTCCATAGCATAGTCTGTGGAGTACTGGGTATTCCATCTGATTTAAATAGTGCAGAGAATGATGGTGGCTCAGAGGCACAAGGCGTCCAGCAGCACCGGACACCTGTGCCACTTGCACCTTTCCTGGTCTGGCCACTCAGTTGGATGTATGCTGTGAGCTCTCTTGCAGAGCTATGAGAGCACAGTCTTTGAGCTCCCCAAGGAAATCACTGTGACCACTGGTGTTTATCATCCAGGATTATTTTCTACTCCTAATAAATGACCTGGGCAGGTATGATTTTGTTTTTTAACCATCCTGTTTCCTCAGGAAACTTGCATTTATCCTTAGAAAATGTATCATTGTCTCTTTTTATGATGGTACCTACAGATCTAGCTTAGTCATCAAATGACTTCTGGTGTCCCATGTATAAACAGATCATGATTCACATTTTTTAGACTTTTTGCACCTAAATGGACACTCAGGTTATATCTAACTTTTTTCCTATACTTAACAATGTTGAGCTAAAGTTCATAGTTATGGGTTTTGTCAGATGGATGCTGTGGACCTGTTCTAAGAAGAAAGAATTTACAGAAATAAATCCATTCAAGTTAACAAAAGTAGATACATGCTTTTTCTATACCCAATGCTATCTTGTGATAAAAAGACAATATAATACCTAGTCTTTGACCTTTAGAAGGTCACAGACTAGCCAGGTAAACAGATGTGTGTGTGTGTGTGTGTGTATGTGTATAATGTGACTAAATATTTTGCAAGCAGCAACCAGCAATATGAAGGAATGGGAACCAATCTCCTTTGAATATGACTCTTCAATGTTCAAAAGAAAACGAACATAGGCTGAAATGGATGGATGGGTTATCACTTACCTCATTCAATAGAATCTTTCCTTAAATTGTAATTCTATAAAATTGGACATTGGTAATTTTCCTTAACATTTATAGCAGAAAATTATGAGTTTGTGATTAAGAAATAAGGACACAGAAGGCATTAAATGTGTTTCCAGCAAGGAAGCATCTCATGTGAATTCAGTGGAAATTATTTTTGAGAGTGAGATAAAATCACAGACACGGGCTCAGGAGCAGTCCAGGTAAACTGTGTGTGCACACCAATCAGCACATCTGCTCAGAGGTGGGGTCGGCAGACCATTAAAGCCTTTGACAGAGGAGAGGACCCAGCAGGAAGAGGTAGAATTCTGCATCTAATGCCAGTTCTGGCACAAGACCTCTCCATTTTACTGGTATCCTGAGCCAGCCCACTGTGTCGTAATGTCATGGCTAGCTCCTGGTTCACTGGAGTAATCTTGTCAGTGCCCTTCACCAAGCCCCGTTACCTGTGCTGGGTCCCTCCTAACATCTCTAGGTACTAGATGGCATAGGTAGGCGGCTGTGAGTGCTGGGAAAGGAACACCAGAGGCTCTGCTGCCCCACGGGGCTCCGCAGCAATAGGCAAGTGAAGGTTTATGATGCTATAACGATACACAAAGGCAGACAGAAGCAAGTCTCCGGACCTGCTGGGTGAATCCAAGTCATTCAAATCGCATTTCCAAGGCCACCTTTCTCTGACATCTTATGCAGAGGGCATAAGAACGACAAAGAACGACAAAGGGTAAGTCCTTGGCCTTGAAGCTCAGTGGAGTTTGCTGGGCTGGATTTCCAGGCTGCTTTGGGTCATGATTCCACTTTTCTTTCTACTTCCTCCCTTTTTGACCTCAAATGTCTCTAACTATTGTCCCAACTCTGTCCCATCCACCCTGGGTTGGAAATAGATGACTGCTCCTTCATTTTTACAGGTCTCACATAGATGGGGACTGCTTCCTGGGAGCTTTGCTTAGTGGATTGCTCGTCCACACCTGATTTAGATGAATCAGATTCGGAGTTTGGAGGTGAAGAGATTCAGGACTTTGAATCAAATGCTGTAATGGGATAAATTTTTAGAGAGATAAAATGGGATGAGATAAAAGTATGTGGGATGAATGTATCTTTGAGGGCCAGAGAGGTGGTCAAATACTGGCCTCTCAAATTTGTTTATGCCTTAATCTTTGGAATCTGTGACTAGGTGGCCTTACATGGAAAAAGGGACTC